GACTACATTTATTTCAGAAGCATTTTGGCTGTAGAGCAGTGTAATTAGTCCCCCTTGATCCTGTACTTACTCACCATTTTGGGGTTCCCGGGGGTTATGTGTGCTCGCTTTGGGACGGGTAAATTATGCTATTGGGTAGACTGTGCTTGCCCTCCTTAAGTACGGGGGAATCATTGCTCTGTCTGGTGTGAACAATGCTGCCTCTGTTAAGTGTTGCATTTTGCCTTTACAGATGCAACCTTGAGATCTCAGCCGTCCATGTTATCACCGGCCGAGAGGCTGCAAAGAATCAGGAAGAGGTAGAAGCAAAGAGGAAGTCCCTTAATGAAAATCAAAAAGTGCAGGAGTGGCGGGAGAGTGAAAGGAGGGTCCACCAGCAGAATGCAGATCGCCAGCACCAAAGCACGGAGCGGCTGATAAGCATCATGGAGCGCCAAGCGGACTCGATCCCCGCGCTCGTAGCCATGCAGGCGGAGCACTACCGCGCCCGCCCCCGCTGCAGCCCTTGTCCCAAAACTCTTTCCCTTGTGCCCCCATGTCACCTCCAACCCACTTTCCCCAACATCCGGGTTCTTATCGCCACCATCTGCCTCCAACACCTGTATCTTCACCAACCAGCCCTGAGAACTACTACCCTTACCCTCTGCACTCAACCCCCATCACCATGCAGTATAGCCATCCTGAAGTGCAGCGCTCATTGCACAGCACTCCAGACAGGAAGGCTGAGTATGATAACAGGACATACGCAAATTTGTGATTGTACCATTCCCCACCCCACCTCCTTGCCCTTTCTGTTTCCCAAGCAGTTGTGTTTCTTTTCAATAAATGCATTTTCTTTTCGATAAATGGATTTTTTGGCTTTGAAAACATTCTTTATTATTGCATAAAGTAAAAGATACCTTAGCCCAGGAAAGCAACAGGCACTGCAAGTCAGTGTATCATACGTAGAAAACACAGATTACTACTCACATTGGTACCATTGCACTTCACTCCCGTGCAGGGCACCAAACATTACTGGTGGCTTTCAGCCTCAGATTGCTGCTTCAAGGCATCCCTAATCCTTGCAGCCCCACGCTGGGCCCCTCTAATAGCCCTGCTCTCTGGCTGTTCAAATTCAGCCTCCAGGTGTTGAACCTCTGAGTTCCATGCCTGAGTGAATCTTTCACCCTTCCCTTCACAAATATTATGGAGGGCACAGTACGCGGATATAATCGCGGGGATGCTGTTTTCGGCCAAGTCCAGCTTCCCATACAGAGATCGCCAGCGGGCCTTTAAACGGCCAAAGGCACACTCCACAGTCATTCGGCACCGGCTCAGCCTGTAGTTGAACCGTTCCTTGCTGCTGTCAAGGCTCCCTGTGTAGGGTTTCATGAGTCACAGCATTAAAGGGTAAACGGGGTCTCCAAGGATCACAATGGGCATTTCGACTTCCCCTATGGTGATCTTCTGGTCTGGGAAAAAAGTCCCAGCTTGCAGGTTCCTGAACAGGCCAGTGTTCCAAAAGATGTGTGCGTCATGCACCTTTTCCAGGCCAGCCTGGGTTAATGTCAATGAAACGCCCACAGTGATCCACAAGCGCCTGGAGAACCATAGAGAAATAGCCCTTCCGATTAACGTACTCGGAGGCTAGGTGGGCTGACACCAGAATTGTAATATGCGTTCCATCTATCGCCCCTCCACAGTTAGGAAAACCCATTTGTGCAAAGCCAGCCACAATGTCATGCACGTTACCCAGAGTCACGGTTCTTCTGAGCAGGATGCGATTAATTGCCCTGCAAACTTGCATCAACACGATTCCAACAGTCGACTTCCCCACTCCAAACTGGTTAGCGACCAATCGGTAGCTGTCTGGAGTTGCCAGCTTCCAGATTGCAATAGCCACACTACAGCAGCCACAGCACTAAACCAACAAGAGAAAGCTCTCCCATCAGCTTAATAATTCCTGCCTCCACAGGAGGCAGTAGCTAAATTGGCTGGGGAACTTCTCTCACCAACACTGCGCTGTCCACACTGGCGCTTAGGTCAGTGTAATTTACATCACTCGGGGGGGGGGGGGAAGGCGATGGCTTATTCACGCCCCTGCGTGACATAAGATATACCAAAGTAATCTGTAGCGCAGATAGCCTGAAACAAGCAACTCATTTGTCTGGAGTCAGACTCCTATCAGATAGGAAAGATTTCTAGTCACAATTGTCCTGGGATTTTTATGTACCGGTTGAGGATGGAGTCTTCAAGGGGGCCATTTAATTATCACTGCACATTTAAGTACCGTATTCCTGCAGCATTTGCAGAAGTCAGATTCTTGCATCATTCATAAGAAAGCAACGAGGCTTTCTCTGGATAAACTGTGAAGTAAACGTCTCATTGCTCCTTCTAATGGGAAAGATGTGAACAATACCAACATTGCTTCACCTGAGCTTGTCCCACGGTTCACATCTCCAACCAGCCTCGCCTGGTTAAGGGAGCAGAGCGTGCTCAGAACTAGGATGATTTTCACACTGCAGCCAAAGCAGCTGTTTACTTTGACCCCATTTCCCCACCGTCTTTGCTCCCTCACCTAGGGTGACCAGACAGCAAGTGTGAAAAATCAGGACGGGGGGGCAGGGTAATAGGCACCTATAGAAGAAAATACCCCAAATATCGGGACTGCCCTATAAAATAGGGACATCTGGTCACCCTACCCTCGCCGCAGCTTCTCCCGGGGGCCTTGGCACCCCCGGGTCTCCCCGCCTGGCAGGGAAGGGGCCGCTCCTCAGCCGCGGGCTGCCCGCCAGGGAGCGCTATCACACGGCTCCGCCCAGGGGCCTCGCCTTGCCCCGCTTCAACAAAGGCCCCGTGGGCCGGGCGAGACCTTCCCCAGGCCTGGACCAGCGGCAGGGGCCATGCCGGGAGGCCCTGTCCCGCAGCACGGCGCCCCGTGCCAGGCCAGGCTGGGGAGCGATGCCGGGCCCGCCCCGCCGCGGCTCGGTCCCCCCGCGGGAAGGGGAGGTCCGGCCCGCTGACTCACGCTTGTACTCGGCCATCAGCCGCTTGAGCGCCGTGCCCGCCATGCGCCGCAACCGCGAGGAGCCGGAGCCGGAGCGCGTCCCGCCGCCAGCAGCTTCCGGGGCAGCAGAGCACCATAGAGAGCTGTGCGGCGCGGCTAGAAAGGCCGCCCAGCGCGCAGCTCCCTCTCGCTGGCGCTGCGGGGTCCGCCGGGCGCACGCGCTAGGGGCGGGGCTGCTGGAGACAGAGCCCAGGGGGAGGGAGCGGGGACATCAAGACTCCGCCCGTGCGGCTGCTCCCCGCCTCTACAGCTCCGGCCCCGTAGTTAATCCTGCCCCGTAGCGCTGCGCGGCGGGATCGTTGTGCGTCGAGCGGCCGGAGGGTCCTGCGCAGCCCCGTGTCTGAGCTCGGGGGCGGGCGCTCAGAAGGGCCGAGTTAAGGGGACGTGGCGGGTCCCGTAGTGCCAGGCCTCGCCCTTCAGAAATGCCAGGCCTAGGCTGAGCTTAGGGTGACCAGATCACTGACAGGCAATATAGGGACGCGGGGGGCAAAAAAAAAGCCATTTTGCAGGTGCCAGGAGAATTAGCAGGCCCTGGCTGCGCTGCGGCCCCGCCCCCCCCCCCCAGGGCCCCGGGCACATGCGGCACGTCCCACCGGCCCGCGGGGAAGGAGCCACTGGAGCTAGAGGTGTGGGGCTCCGGACCCCGGCAGTGGTGGGGGAGAGCGGCTCAGGGCCGCGCAGTTTATCGGCTGTGGGGGGACGACCCCGGCCTGCTCCTTGCCCTGCCCTGTAGGGGGGGTAGCATTCCCGCCCTGTGCCAGCATGTTTCGCCGGCCGCCGCAGGCCAGGTAAGGAGCCGAGTCCTCCCTCGTCCTGGCTCCTCAGCTGAGCAGCATTCCTCCTCCCTCCAGGCGTGCAGCTGGAATGCCGGCACAAGCCTAGAGGGAGGGGGTGGTGGCCGGCTTCCAGTTCCTGGAGCTGGTGGGTAGGGGCACCGGGCGGTCAAGAGGGGCTGGCAAGGGGGCTGCTTCCCCAGGAGGGTGACGGGGGGGCTCAGCTGAGGAGGCAGGACGAGGGGGGAGGGGTGGACGCTACCCCCCTACAGAGGTGAGGAGCCGGCCGGGGTCCACCCCGAGCCGATAAACTTTACATGGCCACTCGTGCGGCCATGAGCCGCTCTCCCCTGCCGGGGTCCAGAGCCCCCCCATTGCCCTCCTGGGGGAGCAGCCCCCTTGCCAGTCCCCCTGCCCGTCCGGTGCCCCTACTCACCAGCTCCAGGAACTGGAAGCCAGCCACCACCCCCTCCCTCCAGGCTTGCTGCCATTACAGCAACAAGCCTGGGAGGAAGGAGGAATGCCACGTGCTTGGGTAAGAGGCAGGGCCAGGGCGGGGATTTGGGGAGGGAGCCAATGGGGGAAGGAGGGGGTGGAGTTGGGGGTGGGGGGGCGAGAGCCCTCCAGGGAGGGCAAAATTGCTTGTTTGTCCAGTGTCCCGACCGCACATCAGTGCCGATAAAATCGGGACGTCTGGTCACCCTAGCTGAGCTGGGCTGGGAGATGCGAAGTCCAGGCCTCCCTCTTCCCCCACCCCAGAGGCTGCCGGTGAGCGGCTGGGGGATTTGTTTAGAGCAGAAGTGGACTGGGTGGGTGGTGGCCCTGGTAGCTAGCGCAAGCTAAGGGGACTTCCAGCCAGGGGCCTCTGCCATGTGCTGCTCTGCCACCCAGTTGCACCTGCCAGCCCTGTGCTGCCAGTGCTGCCTGCCTGTGGCCCCAGGCTGCTCGTTTGTCCAGTCCTGATGTGTCTGGTGATGGGATGCAGAGACCCCCAACTAGGAATAGAAGGAAGAGGATGAGCCCCTGGCTGCAGAGAGGCCTCCCAGCCAGGGCCGCCCAGAGGATTCAGGGGGCCTGGGGTCTTTGGCGGCAGGGGTCCTTCCGCTCCGGGTCTTTGGGGCACTTCTTCGGCGGCGGGTCCCGGAGCGAGTGAAGGACCCGCCACCGAAGAGCCGCTGAAGATCCGGAGCGGATGGAGTCATCACCGGTTAACTGCCACCGAAGACCCGGAGCGGAAGAAGCTCCGGGTCTTTGGCAGCGGGTCCTTCACTCACTCCGGGTGTGTTCGGTGGCACTGAAGGACCTGCCGCTGAAGACCCACCGAAAACTCTGGTGGGGGCCCCTGAAAACTCTCGTGGGGGCCAATACCGGATTTACAATGGCGCCACTGGCGCTGGGCCCACGGTCAAAAGGGGCCCCGGCCCGCTCTTCTCCGCCCCCCGATCTCTCCTGTGGGGTCAGAGAAGCTTGATGCTGCTGGCTGCCACGGCTCCTCCCCCGCCTCTTTCCCCAGCGTGCTACATCCCCCCCGCCCCCCCCCCCCGCCGATCAGCTGGATCAGCTGCTTGCCGGCAGGAGGGGAGGGAGGAGGAGGGAGCCTCAGCACGCTCGCAGCTCCAGGGAGGAGGAGGAGAAGAGGCGGGGGTGAGGCCTTGGGGAAGGGGCTGGAATTGGGGCATACCCCCTCCAGCCCCCTGCGTGAGCACCCCCATGACCCCAGCCCACAACCCCAACCCCCTGCCCACCCTGACCGCTGCACCCCGTCACATACCCCGAGCCCCCTGCCCTGACTCCTGCACCCCACACACACACACCCAGCCCCCTGCACCCCCACATACCCCGAGCCCCCTGCCCTGACTCCTGCACCCCCCCACACACACCCAGCCCCTTGCACCCCCTCACACACATCCAGCCCCCTGTCCTGACCCCTGCACTCCCCTCACACCTCCCCAGCCCTGACCCCTGCACCCCCCACACCTCCCCAGCCCTGACTCCTGCATCCCCCCTCATGCCCCCCCAGCCCCTGCCCTGAAACCTGCACCCCCTCACACACCCCTAGCCCCCTGCCCTGACTCCTGCACCCCCCCACAGCCCCACCCCCATCCTGAGAAACAAACAGGAGCTGCCCCACGTAAGCGCTCCACACCCCAACCCTGAGCCCCCTCCCTCGCCCTAGCTCCTGGCCAGACCCCGCACCCCGAACATTTTTTTACAATATTTGGAAAGATCATTCAGTGGTCTGTCGAGACCCTCCGTGATTTTCAAGTCGTCTGTGGAAAAATGTTCTTGTAGTCTAATTTAATCAAGGTACCTCACTTTATTTTCATTTACTTACTATTACTTAAAGGAGGAGGATGAGGAAAAAAAGAATGAAAAACGGGGGCAGGGGGAGATAAGAGAGAATGTTCTTTTTCTTGGCTGGGTCCCAAGGAGGAGCCCCAAAAATGAAGCTGAGCATAGGGCTGGGGGGCCCCACTAACTCTAAATCCACCACTGGCTGTCACGTCACCTGGGCTGGAGATACTGTCAGGGCCAGTGTAATCACTAGGCGAACTAGGTGACCGCCTAGGGCGCCAAGATTTGGGGGTGCCAAAAAGCGGTGCTCAACATTTTTTTTTACACTACAGTGGAGTCACATCTTACATGGGGGTTAGGTTCTAAAGTCACCGCGTAAGAGGAAAATTGCATATAGTGAAAATTACCATAAAGTACAGTATACACTAGAACAGGGGTCCTCAATCTACAGCACGCATGCCAAAGGTGGCACGCAAGCCGATTTTTTTTTTTAATGGCAGGCTGCTGGTCCTGGCTGCCGCTGAGCCTGCTGCTGACCTGGGGTTCTGTTCACTCAGCCGGCAGCAGGCTGAGCAGAGCCAGCAGTGGGCTGGCTCCTGCCAGCCAGGGTCTCGGCCACCGGCCCTGCTCAACCCACTGATGATCTGGGGTTCCGGCTGCCAGCTCCTTGCCAGCCAGGGTCTCGGCCACTGGCCCCGCTCAGCCTCCTGCCGGCCTGGGTGAATGGCAGGAGGCTCTGCAGAGTCGCTGGCTGGGACCTCGGCTGGCAGCTGAGTGAACAGAACCCCAGGCCGGCAGCAGGCTCAGTGGTGGCCGGGACCCGCAGCCTGCCATTAAAAAAAAAAAATCAGCTCACGTGCTACCTTTGGCACGCGTGCCTTAGGTTGAGGACCCCGTTCTAGTGTATACAGTGTATACAGTACTGTGTATACTGTAGTTTATGGTAATTTTCACTATATGTGATTTTCGTCTTACGCGCTGACCTTAGAACCTCACCCCCGCGTAAGATGTGACTCCATTGTATTCATTTTTGAAAATTTATAATAAGCAATGCTCTGGGGCGGGGGGGTGGCGTGGGGGAGTGCGCAAGATGGAAGTTTCGCCTAGGGTGCAAAATATCCTTGCACCGGCCCTGGATACTGTGTCAGCTGATCCCCACAGTCTCCAACCTACCTGGGCAGTACAGCAGACATGGCCCTGCCCACTAGCTCCTCTCCACTCCCTAGCCCACCCACCACTTGCCCCCCCCCCCCTTAAGGCTTAGCCCTCTTACTTTTAAAATGATTGCTTGCCCCTCTCCCCCCTCCCCCCCAGGCTTTTCTGGCAGCCCTGTTGCCAGGTATCCAGTTTTAGACTGGAAACTCTAGTAGAAAACGGGACCTGAGTGTCTGGTAAGCAGTGCTGACTGGAAACTAAATGTCCAATTATAGGAGTAACCACATTAGCCTCCGCTCCTCCCACTCCCAAGACCCACCCCAGAGGGCTAGAAGAGAACCTGTCCTGCTGCTGTGGGAGGAGGGGCAGCTCAGTGCAGAGAGAGACAAAGAGAATGGGCTAGAACCAGGTAGGTACCCTCTCTATGTGGGCAGGGATGGGGGGGATCCTGTTTACCCCCTCCCCAGCCCTGCTGTGCTTGCAGTTTACCCCTGACCCCTCCCTTGCTCCAGAGACCAACCCTAGCTCCTGCCCCACTGTGCTTTTAACCCCGGCCCCTTTCACAATCATTCCCCAGGGGGGCCCACAAATATGTTTGGCGCTGGGCCCACAAAAAGTTAATCCGGCCCTGGGGGGCAAATTGCCCCACTTGCCTCCCCCCCCCCCCCCCCGGGGCGGCCCTGCTCCCAGCTGCTGAACAGTTCCTGCATGGGATGGCTTCCACACTCCAGGCTGGTGAGTGAGTGAGCAGGGCTGTAACAGCAGAGCTGCAGAGGGCTCCCTGCATGGCCTCAGAGGCAGTGACACTGGATTCCTGCAGATGCAAAGTGCAGGGAAGGCTGCGGTCCTGTGGGCAGAACAGAGACCCTGGCACTCCCAGCTGGTGTGACACGGTCAGGTCTGTGACAACAGGGCTTCAGAGGGCTCCCTGCTCTGCCCCAGGAGCCAGTTAGCAGTAGGGTGGCCTCCCCAGCAACTAGGAACTCGTCCTCCTTCTTGCAGTCCTAGCCAGGGGTCTCTGCTCTGCCCCACCACGACCCACTCAGCATCTCCCGTGGCAAAAGGGCTGCAGAGAGCTCCCTTTGTGGCCTCAGAGCCGGTGCCACCCGGTCCCTGCAGAGGCACAAACTGTGTGATGTCGGTGACAGCTGAAATTGACATCTACAGACAGTTATCAATTAAAATGGAACCCTGCCAAACCTGACCATAGTAGAGTTATTGCTCTGCTATAATCTTGAGTATTGCTCATGGTATGAGGGAGAATGTGATGTGGAGGAAGTTGAGAGGTGAGTGACACTAGGCAGGCCTGCACTGTTAACACCGTGGGGAAATGTGCCCAGTGCTGAGGGTCAGCACATCCCCTGAGCCCTGCCAGTGATGCTGTGTACAGGGGCAGAGTGGCTGCAGCTGGGGGCCTTTGCACATGTTATACACCATAGCAGGGCTCAGCCTCAGATCAGATTAGGCTGGCATGAAGGGGAGACTTCAGAGCAAGCCCAGGAGAAGGTCCATAGAACCTATGATTACCTAGATTCAGGGGCTCAAACCCTGTGTCTGCCATAGGCTGGAGTAGTGGCTGTGAATGGATTGCAGGAGGTGCATTTTGCTTTAAGAAGGTACAGCAACACTATTTAACTCTGGCACTTTTATAATCTGGAACATTCTGGGTTGGCAAAGTTCAGCAGTTTGCAGCTAAGCATTGAATTATACGTGCAAACAAATTGAAAAATGTTCTGTTTACTTGGTCTCTGTGATACCAGGGCCTGCTCCTGCTGTTCCTTAGAATTCATGACAGCACATTTGAGTTCTTCATGAGCACTGCTTATTCTTTATTCCTTTGCTGACTCAGCCTTATGGGAGTTGGGAGAAAACGTCCATGACCTTTTGTAATAACAACTCACATTGATAAAGCACCTTTTATGCCCAAGACTGTAATTACAGAGGTGGAGGATTTAGCATCAGAAAAGAATGGCTAAATATACACACACACAAACAAAAGGCTGCCTTTCTACTTTAGCCTCTCTCACTGAACGCATTAGGCTGCTGATCCCAGTTTAATTCCATTAGCTGCACCAGTTAAACCAGGTTTGAATTTGGAACGTGTACAAGGTTTTAAGATTGCCTTATTAATAGTCATAGGCTTCAAGGGCAGAAATGACCTGTTTGAGGGTGGCTTGCCCTTTAAGGGGCATTGGGCCCCACCTGTAGCTAATCAGCTACTGCACAGTTGATGCTGTGAGACCAGGGGTCAGGTGACAACTTGAAGATCACCTGGTATCCAAAAAAGCCAGAAAGTAGTTGTGCTGGAAAGCTGTGGAGAGTAGATAGACTCCTGCAGAAGATTCTGGTGCAGGGTAAAAGAACCCTATTTATATACAACTCTTAGGGAGGGGAGATGATCTGCCGAGGTGAAAATTGCAGAGAGCAGGCCAAGGAGAAAGCTCATAGAATCATAGAATATCAGGGTTGGAAGGGACCTCAGGAGGCCATCTAGTCCAACCCCCAGCTCAAAGCCGGACCAATCCCCAACTAAATCTTGACTCCCAGGCAGGTAGCCTGCAGGATGCAATCCAGTAGGAAGTAGGTGGGTCAGAACTCTAGTTCAGAAGACTCTAGTTCAGGGGAAGGAATGCGACTGAGGTCGTGGACAGTTTCATTTTAAAGCCATAAAACTGAAGCTGTGAAGAACAGAGTGTAGAATCCTGAGGTTGGAGTGTTCTTCAGTGTATGGGCTGGTGAGCTAGCACCCAACACCCTTCTGACTTCTTATGTAATAGAGGCCACAAATTTTCACTCAGATTCTTGTACCTTGGGTGAAGTAGAGCATTTCTTAAAGATTTCACATGATGGAGAATCCATCACACCCTTTGGTATTTTGGTCCAATGGTTAATTTACCTGCATTGTAAAACGCATGTGCCTCCTTGGAGTTTAAATTTGTCTAGTTTCTATTTCCAACCAGTGGCTTCTTTTATGGCTTTGCTAGATAGATTAGAGAGCCCTGCAGGCACTCTGAGATTATGAAATGGAGTTTGCCATGTAAAATGTAACATCTCACTGAAAGATGGAAAATTCAAACTGTCCCCTAGTTTTTGGTTATTGAATACCTGCAGACCTTGAGAGCTGTAGGTTGTCTTGCTGATCAGGCATGCGTGGCTTAGCTGCAGTCACATGAGCCTGTAGACCAGTTCAGATAGAGGGAATCTGACCACTCTACAGTGGAGTAGTAGTCTGAGGGAATAGGGCAGGGGTGGCCAGCCTGTGGCTCCGGAGCCGCATGCGGCTCTTCAGAGGTTAATATGCAGCTCCTCGCATAGGCGCTGACTCCAAGGCTGGAGCTACAGATGCTAACTTTCCAGTACAGGTGCTGTGGGGTGCTCACTATTCAACCCCGTGCTCTGCCCCAGGTCCTGCCACCACTCCACCCCTTCCCCCAAGGCCCCTGCCCCTTCCCCCAAGCCTGCCATGCCCTCGCTCCTCCCCACCAGAGCCTCCTGCGCACTGCAAAACGGGAGGGAGGGGGAGGTGCTGATTGGTGGGGCTGCCGGTGGCCAGGAGGCACTGGGGGATGGAGTGGGATAGCGGATGGGGGGCTGCTGACATATTACTGTGGCTCTTTGGCTATGTTCATTGGTAAATTCTGGCTCCTTCTCAGGCTCAGGTTGGCCACCCCTGGAATAGGGGAAGACAGATTCCCCTTCTCCTGATCCACGTTTTCCACTCTCCCCCTGCTGCTCTCAGAGGCCTAGGCTACAGGGTAGACTCCAAGCTTCTGCTTCCTGAGTGATTCAGTCCCCCTTCAGGGGTGAAGGGGGGGAACCTTAGAAAAGGGGAGCCCCACCTCCCTGAGAAAGCAGTATACCTCACAGATAGTACTGTCTGCTCAGCACAATGGGCCTGTTCTGAGTGCTTGAGGTGTTTTCCTTTCCCCACATTTTTGAATGAGAGTCCCTCTCAGGCCAGATAAGTTCTAGCTACCCTGCTTAGGGCTATAGGAGCTGTTTCTGAAGACAAAAAAATGACATACATCAAAGTGACAAGTATGGTACATTGTGTGTAAAATGTCAAAGCCGATTCTACACTGAGAAACACTAGTGCTGAATTTCACTCTGCAAATTCTCTCAGAGGAAGTGGATCATGTCTGGTGATGTGTTTGGCACTGTGGGAAATACTCTAATTCATCAAAAGGGAAAAGCTGCATGCAATTATCATCTAGAAGCCTTATCACAGAGAGAAGAAATAGCTACCACAAACTATTTCATTGGGAAATCAGTGATGGTGAAAGTTGTCTGACACAAAAGCAATGCAAGATGTTGCTTTTTTTTAGTTTGGTGGGATCACTTATCTTTATGTGCATTCAATCCTCTGTATATGTACCAGTAGTGCTGTCATACCGGCATCTCAGTAAATTCAGTTACAGGTATGTTTCTCACTTACATTGAGGTGGCCTCTTGAACAACTCAGCACAGCTGCTGTTTACGCAGAAACCAATCTTCCCACCCTCCTGCCTAAATAAAATTACCTGAACCAAAAAATAATTAACAAAACACACAATTCACCAGTTAACCATAGTAGAGTTTGGATTACCAGACGAGTGTGCCTTTACTGTAATCCTAGTTGGTTGTGAGTATAAGTACCCTGAACTGTGCATCTATTGTACCTATTATCATGTTCAGTGTAGCTGATTAGAACTGTCAGAGGTGAGGATTTCAATGCAAGATATGGCAACAAATGAAGCAATGGCACTTCAATGACCTAATGTCAAGTAAAGCCATCTGAAATGCAGCAGCATTAAACATAAGCCATGAGACAGAGTACCAAACTATATTTACTGTATACAGTAGTAAAGGACAACAAATAATGTACAAATTGGTGAATAAACTATGAGCTCTAACAGAATATCCCACCCTAGCCCATATACAATAAAATGAAAAAGAAAATAAGGACTTTTCCCAGCAGATTTCAAGCAAAGAGATGATCTAATGTTGTCAAATTGGTCAGGTAAATATAAAAGGCAGATAATGACCTAATCAAGCAGCAATGGACAACCTATTGAAGGATAATAAGATGACCTTTTAAAAATTTCATTTGGAGTAGAGCCCAAAACATCATACAGAACTGAAAGTCACCACACAAATGCATTTAAAATTCAATACATTTTTGGGAAGCAGCAGAGCAGAAATTTCTCAGAAGAACCTTAAATTACCTTTTCAAGGTTTTTGTGCTTAGCAATCTTTTAATAGCTCTTCTGCACATACAACTTGGCCATAAGCTTATCAAGAGTCTGTTTGTTAGAGGTTTTGGTTTGTTTTATGTAAGACCACATTTATCCATAAGAAACATGTACTGAAAGAAACCAGAGGCCACATATTTACTAGTACCAAGTGAGTAATAATGATACAACTTTTATGTTTGTATTAAAGGGGATGATAGGGACAAGTTACACATTTTTTTGTCCATCACCTAGTAAACCAATAGTGAGCTGTGATGATGGACTTTTTTCTTTTTATTCTTATGGAACATAATACACTAGTGTTCAGTCATGAACACTAGTAGGTTTGGTCTAGCATTCTGGTAATAACTCAATTGCTGACATTAATTCTGGGCAATTCTCTCATTTTTGCTTTTTAAAACTTAAATTTCAATCTATTTTATCAGATTATGACAAAGCACATGTACATTTGCAATATTTAAACATTTACTCTATACTAAGCCTCATATCTGCACGTACAGTCCTTGTATCATAGGTTTTAAGTTTTACAATAATAACTGTGTTTACAACACATAGTAAAAACTTTTAAATCAACCTTTTCTTCCCTTCACTTGCCCTATTGTAGGAGAAGATTTTAAACTCACTGCTGAACTGAGGATATATTTACATGATTAGAATTATGCAGTGGGGCAATAATACAACAAGAGTCAGGAATGAACAATCCGTGTCCTAGAATATAGGTGGATACTTAGGCCACAGGTTTATATAAACAAGATAACAGCAGACAGACAACCCATATTTTACTTAAACTGAAAAGTTAATTCCATTTGGCCCAATTTAAGATGTAGATTAATCCCTGCAGATACAGTTTTGACTTGCACACGCAGTATGTCAGAGGGACAGCAGAACAATTTTGGTAAATGTCCTCTAAAGTTTTAGAAGAATCCTGTGTGATTGGCATGTTCATTCATTACTATTTAATAGCAAATCCAAGGACAGATGAGAAAGTGAGGTGTGACAAGGGTCTTTAAATTCCTCTTCCCAAAAGGACAGCATGTTTAACACACTCCACCTGTCTGCTGTTGAAACACATCAATAGTATCTTCATCTTCCATCTCCAGCTGTTGGATTAATGCACACATATTTTAATATATACATAGCTATACATTTTAAAAGGGCATTTAGTTCTTGCACCGTTAATAGCATTACTCATTAAGAAGCAGTGTTTGAATTTAAACTTTAATGCTTATTAAATTCCCCTCTCCACCCAATCAGAAAGCAACATCACCCCTTCACCACAGTGTCTTCCCAGCTCCAGTCACAAGTTATCTTGGTCTCCCTTCAGCCAAGACATTCCAGGCTGACTGACACTGTGTTGGGGAACAAGATCCCAGATTTAGGCAGTAAAGTAGAGTCTAAGATCCAAGGCATTAAGGGATTCATGTCAGTCTATGCTTTTCCTTTAGTGTCAATACTCAGCACAGATTGTTCCTGCTCGACAGGGCACAACTCTGGCCCTCCATTCCCACCCCTGCTCCCCAGAGTCTCAGGCTTGGTCTACACTTAAAAATTAGACCAACCTATCTTTGTTACTCAGGGCAGTGGAAAATTTCAGGCCCTGAGAACCATAGTTAGGTCAAAATGACCTAGGCATGTCTACACCAGGGGTCAACAGAAGGATTCTTCCATCAACCTAGCTACCGCCTCTCGGAGAGGTGGATCACCTACATCAACAGAAAAACCCTTTCTGTCAACATCGGGAGCGTCTACAGTGTTACCGAGGCACAGCTGAACCACCACAGCTGTGCCACCATAGTGTAAACATACCCTCAGTATACTTCCCCAAGAAGTCTGGGGCAAGATTCTCTGCTCTGCTTCCTCCTCGCTAACTGCTAAAGGTGTGGTTTCTGTTGATTTAATCTACAGATCTCCCCAAACTTGCAAATCAAACCTTTATTCCACTCCCAGCCAACTTCTGCAGCGGTGCACTTTGAACAACTGTGCAGTTCAATTTGTCTTCTGAACAGCAAGGGTCTGTAACTAATCTCAAGGGTCTGTAACTAATCTCAACTAACCACTGTGAACAGTTATTCACATGAGTAGTACCATTAATTCTACAGGGGTTATACTCTGTGGGCACAGAAAAAGTTAGTCTTTTCAGCAAGCCATCCTGGGGTGCACTCCAGTCAGCTGCAGTCAGGGTGTTCCTTTTCAGCCTAGATTATCTCTTTCATAGTTTTCACATCCAATTACAAAATAGCTTTGCAGGGCATTCCCACAGCCAGAACAAATCAGTTTGGTCAGTGATTTATTGTTCTCTCTCAACTCCAAAGGAGGACTCATTAGTCCAATCCACACCATCCAGAATATTTCTGGGTTTTGTTTCTTGTATTCCCTACCACAGGCCTTGTCCATACCAGGAATTTTCCTCCCTGAAATTTATCACTATTGCCAATACTGATTCAGCTTCAGCAGTGGCAGAAATGGTGGTAGCACTAGTGTAGACAAGGCACCAGCAGCCACCTGTGTTTTAATCATGTTATTGTCTATACCTACTCTGCGCATGGTTCGTAAGACAATCCTTAAAACTCTGGCAGCTATTTGGAGCCATGTCTACACTAGTACTCTCACTTGCTAATTGGGTCAAGCTCCACCAGTGGTAACAATTATGAGAAATTTTAAAGAAAAAGAAATCCTACTGCACGTTTTGGGAACTGCTGGGCCTACAACAAAGATACTATTCTATCAAAATCCCACCTAAAATAGTTTTCTCTAGGTGCAGACATCTAAAAATATAGAGTTCTGCTACAGTTATTACAACGTATTTTCGTACCTGTGCAGGTGTGTCAGTTTCATTAATTGGTTGTCCATCAAATCTGAATCTAATCTGTCTCATTGACAAACCCTGGAAGTTAAAATAATTAACATGAGATATGGAGTTCTTACTTTGCAATCCAAATAAAATAAGTTTATGATTAGGAGCAAGTATTTGCTATAATGTGTAAAAATCAGAATTCAGAAGATTTAAAGTGACAGAAGAGCTATATATATGTTGTAGTATATGATTCGACCCAGATGTCAAAATTCTAAGTTAATCTGATGTCCCAGGGCAGGCACTGTATGAGCAGGACATCTACAGTAGAACCTAAGAGTTATGAACTGATCAGTCAATCACACACCTCATTTGGAACTGGAAGTACACAATCAGGCAGCAGTAGAAGAAAAAAACAAAACAACAAAAACATCCCTCAACAAATACAGTACTGTGTTAAACGTAAACTACTAAAAAAAATAAACAGAAAGCAGCATTTTTCTTCTGCATAGTAAAGTTTCAAAGCTGTATTAAGTCAATGTTCAATTGTAAACTTTTGAAAGAACAACCATAATGTTTTGTTCAGAGTTATGAATATTTCAGAGTTTCGAACTACCTCCATTCCCAAGGTATTCATAACTCGAAGGTTCTACTGTATTTTGGAATAGCACATGTCCCCTGCACCTGGCAGAATGTTGCTTTCTGTTGAGTGGGGGAAGGGAGAGTAAGCTACCAGAGCAGAGTGATGCAGGGGGATAGAGAGGCAGCAAAAAACATTAAGGGGGGGAAAAAAAGAGAGAAAAAACAAAAGGAAAAGACAGACAACTACTTTTCATCTTCAAAACACTCTGCAAACTTCTTAAACCTCACTTCACACCTGTCAGGTGGATAAGGATTTTATATACATTATAACACTGATGTTAAGAGGTCTAAGGCAACAGAGGGAATTAGCGTCAGAGCCGGGATTACAGTTCAGGAGTTCCTGGCACCTAGTACCAATTTTAAAGAACCAGGAGCGCTGGATGAGGAGAAAGTCATTTTGATTAAAGTATAACTGAAACCAAATTTTTCAAACCTGAGAGAGAAAGTTAGGCCGCAAAATCCATATTCTACCATACTCCCATATAATGGGGTCTACTCATTCTCTGGAACATTGGTATTTAACACATTTTATGAAAAGAAGTAAAGTTTCCATAATGACAAGGTCTTTCATAAGGTAAGTGATCCTATTGACTCTCAGGCAGCAAAATGAATTTATTAGTAATACTACAACATATAAAAACTGTGTTAAACACATGTACCTGTCTCTCACAATAAGCCTTCATTAGTTTGCTTAGGGGTGTATGCCTTTTTATTTTGAACTGCACCACAGATCCATCCTGGCCAGCTACTTTTAGATTGATATGGTCATTCTCTGTTTTTACTCCTTCCTGCAAAACAAAATGTAAAGATGGACATCACTATTTATGAATAAAAGTTACCCTAAGAATTTGGAAAAGACTGATAGTAATTTAGCAAACTGTTGCAAAACAGAAGCATTCCTTTCTATATATAAAGGTTTGATGTTCTCCACAGCACACAAAGGAAAAAAAAAAACCCAAGTTTTGTGTTTGCCTCTGAGACTTGCAGGCAAAGAAGTAAAAGCAAGAAACTTTAGAACAAATTACTAAAAACTGAACAAATTCCAACATTTATATCTGCAAACTCAGACCATCCTGAGGGGAAGTTAGTAGATTATTTATACGCAATGGCAAAACACTAAGTTAACACAGAGTTAAGGTTGCTTGATGATATGTCATGCAGAACACTGAGTTGAGCAGAACTCAAACGTCTGAAAACCAGGAAATGCACAGTTAAGTGTGCATGGGCAACCTTAACTTTGCTCTCTTTCAGTAATGCCCCAATATGCCCCATTAACACAGGAACCTTTACTCTGCCAACCCCACAGTTGCTGAAATTACTCCGGGGGGGGGGGGTTCTGCGCCCCTGCGGGAGCACAGAATTCACATGGCCTGCATTTTTCTGTGCCCCCGTGCAGAAAAACGCAAAAAAAAAAAAAAAAAAAAAAAAAATCCGGCGGGGGGCACGCGCCTCTTGCCTGTCAGCGCGTCTGTTCCAGTGTGCCTGAAGCAGCCTCCGAGACAGGGGAGAGGGGATGGGCGTGTATGCCTGGCTGATCGCCGGCGGGGGCGGGGCTGGGCATACGTGCATTCCAACAAGCGAGAGAGAGACTCTGTCCCTCTCTCTTGCGACTGCAGCTCCCTGGCGTGTAACGGTAGGGCTTTTTATTATGCAGGAAGCACGCTAGAGGCACAAATGAAGCAGCCTGCCTGAGGGCTTGTCTACACTGGCACTTTACAGCACTGCAACTTTCTCACTCGGGTGTGAAAAAACACCCCCTGAGCGCTGCAAGTTCCAGCGCTGTAAAGTGCCAGTGTAGACAGTGCACCAGCGCTGGAAGCCGCTCTCCCAGCGCTGAGAGCTATTCCTCTCACGGAGGTGGGATTTTTAGAGTGCTGGGAGAGCTCCCTCCCAGTGCTGCACCGCGACCACACAAGCCACGTTAAAGCGGTGCTGCGGCCACGCTTTAACGTTGCCAGTGAAGATGTGCCCTGAGTTAATTGATCTCATTCTGAGGCACAAATGTAGCAACCTGACTGTGTAAAGTTGTTAAAATTGCTGTTGATGGTTAATTGATCTCATTCTCTGAGGCAGAAATGTAGCAGCATGCCTATTGTTCCTATTGTTAATTAACTGTTCCCATTCTCAGTCAATTCTCCCAGGAGCATAAAATTTGTGAAAGTTTTAAGGCCAGAGTGATGTAAAGAAGTCTTATCATAAATGACAGTAAGGGGATCCTCAGCTAGGAAGATCTTATGTGCTTTCTCACTTTTTTCCTGTGCCAAAGTGGCACAGTGAGGTTAGATTACAGCTCAGGATTTATTTTACTTACCCATTAAAAAAAAAAAAAAAAGACTGAGGGCAAATAAAACGTTTACCAGTCAATAAAGGCCCCATCTACACTGGCAAGTTTCTGCCCAGTAAAGCGGCTTTCTGTGCTGTAACTCCTGAGGTGTACACACTGCCAAGCCACTTAGTGTGCAGCGCTTTAAAAAAACCACCCCAATGAGAGGTGTACAGCTTTCTGCGCCAGGGCTACAGCGCTGTGGTGCCAGTGCAGACACCATGGCAATTACAGCGATGTGATTGGCCTCCAGGAGGTGTCCCACAATGCCTGTTCTCACCTCTCTGGTCATCGGTCTGAACTCTACTGCCCTACCCTCAGGTGACCAACCGTCATCCCCACCCCGTATATTCCTTTGCAAATTTGAAAGCCCCCTTCCTGTTTGCTCGGTGATGTGTGCACTGGTCTCAGCGCATCTTTCCAGGTGGCTATGCCTGCTCCACGCACCAGGCGATCCCCCGCTTGGAGCAATCCCGAGCTGCTGGACCTCATTGGCATTTGGGGAGAGGAAGCTGTGCAGTCACAGCTGCGCTCCAGCTGTAGTAATTATGATACCTATGGACAGATTTCTAGATGCATGATAGAAAGGGGCCATGACCGGGACACATTGCAGTGTAGGGTAAAAGTGAAGGAGCTGCGGAACGTCTACCACGAGGCGTGGGAGGCAAACCGCCGCTCTGATGCTGCGCCCAGGAGCTGCCGATTCTACAAAGAGCTGGACGCGATACTCGGTGGCGACCACACCTCAACTGCAAAGGCCCCTGTGGATACTTCGTTGGCTCACGTGCCAGTGGAGAGTGGATTTAGCCAGGAGGAGGAAATCTTGGACGAGGGGGGGGGGGGGGGACCCAGAGGCAGAGGATGGCTCGGAGGCCAGAGATGCATGCAGTCAGGAGCATTTTTCTACCCCGGAGGAGCCTAGCCAGTCACAGCAGTAGGATCTTGGTGAAGCGCAAACAGGAGAGGAGGCCCCTGGTAAGTGGATCTGATTTCGGGAATTGCTGAAGCGAGTTGTTGGGGGCAGGAGGGTTGCAGAAAGCAGGCTTGTTTCCCACCGCATGCCTAGTCTGAGCGGCAGAACAGGCTGTTGATAAGACTCCCTCACTTCACGGGAATCTCCCTCAGAGATCTCCAGGAAACTCTCGTGGAGATACTGGGCAATCCGCTGCCGCAGGTTCCTCGCCAGAGCTGCTTTGTTTCTTTCCCCTTTTAACGGTAACTTTCCCGCGCCACTGTGCCATCACGGGGAGACGGGGGGACCATTGCTGCACACAGGCAAGCTGCATAGGGGCAGGGCGGAAGCCGCAGGCTTGGAGAAGACCCTCCCTTGATTCCCTGCTCACCCTCAGCAGCGAGATATCTTCCATAATGATCACATCCTGTGGAAAGTGTGGGAACAGGAATGATTATCAAGCCCCCCCTACAGTACTGGCTCTCCCGAAGAGCCACGTGCCCACTGTACAGCAGGGTCCGGGAAGAGTGATTCACCCTGGCCCTGCGGCTACTCACCATTTTGGGGGTCTTGTGACTCGTGTACTTGCCTGGGGTCAGCCAGTTAGTGACAGGTGTGTGAGTACTGACTGTGTTTTAAAGCACTGAATCAGTGTTGTCTGTGTTGCAAAAAATACTGCTTCTGTAAAATGTTGCATTTAAACTTCACAGAGATGACCTTGGGAGGCCAGCCTCCCTTATCGGCAGCAGAACGGCTGTGCACAATTAGAAAGCGGCCACGAAGAACTAAGGAGGACTTTCTCCATGAGGTTATGATGCACTCTGCCACTGAGAAACAGGAATTGAAGGAGTGGCGGGACAGCAAAAAGAGGGACCGAAAGGAGAACGCGGCACACCAGAAAGAAGCCACGGAGCGGCTCTTAAACATTATGGAGCACCAAGTGGACACGCTCCAGGCAATACTAGCTCTTCAAGCCGAGCAGCTCCGCGCCCACCCTCCCTCCCCTGCAGCCGCTGTCACAAAACTCTTTCCCATGCGCCTCCCCGCCAACACACTTATCAATCTCCTGGCTCCACTCTCTACCCGCAGCATTCCACTCCTCCTTTCTCACAGTCCAGCAGTGTGGACTCCCAATACCCACTGTACTCAACACCCATCCCCCTGGCCCTGCTGAAGTACAGCACCTGCTACATTGTACTCCAAAGGAGAAGGTTGGGTATGATCCCTGGACATACACAAATCTGTAGCTGTCCGGGGACCCCTCCTCCTCTGGAGACCTTCCCTTTCCCCCTCCCCCTCCCTGCTGATGTATTATTGTTGTTTGACTCTCTCCTCCGGTTGTTGTCTTTTAATAAAAGAATTGTGTTGGTTTGAAAGCAATCTTTATTCTATTAAGTGAAAGCAAAAAGAGCACTGCAAAGCAACATGCAATTATGTTAAACCCCCCCTATTGCATCATGTGCACCAGACACCTCCTAGAATTATAAGCACTGCAATCCTGAGCATAGCAGCAAATATTAGTGGCTTTCAGCTTCAAATTGCTGCCCCAAGGTATCCCTGATCCATATGTCCCCGTGCTGTGGCCCTCTAATAGCCCTGGTCTCTGGCTGTTCAAACTCAGCGTCCAGGCGCTGAGCCTCTGCGGTCCAGCCCTGAGTGAAGCTTTCACCCTTCCCTTCACAAATATTATGCAGCGTACAGCACGCAGCTATAAGCATAGGAATATTGTCATCGGCCATGTCCAGCTTCCCATACAGGCATCGCCAGTGGGCTTTTAAACGGCCAAATGCACTCAAAAGTCATTCTGCACTTGCTCAACCTGTTGTCAAACCGCTCCTTGCTGCTGTCAAGTTGCCCCATGTACGGCTTCATAAACCACGGCATTAGGGGTAGGCGGGGTCTCCCAGGATCACAATGGGCATTTCAACTTCCCCTATGGTGATCATCTGGTCAGGGAAGAAAGTCCCTGCTTGCAGCTTCTTGAACAGGTCAGTGTTCCGAAAGATGCGTGCGTCATGCACCAGCCTACATTAATGGCCGTGAAACGCCCACGGTGAGCCACAAGCATCTGGAGAACCATTGAGAAATACCCCCTGCAATTAATGTACTCGGTGGCTAGGTGATCTGGTGCCAGAATTGGAATGTGAGAGCCGTCTATCGCCCCTCCACAGTTAGGAAAGCCCATTTGTGCAAAGCCATCCACAATGTCACGCATGTTGCCCAGAGTCACGGTCTTTTGGAGCAGGATGTGATTAATGGCCCTGCACACTTCCATCAACACGACTCCAACGGTCGACTTTCCCACTCCAAACTGGTTAGCGACCGATCGGTAGCAGTCTAGAGTAGCCAGCTTCCACAGTGCAATAGCCACATGCTTCTCCAATGACAGGGTAGCTCTCATTCTTGTGTCCTTGTGCCGCAGGGCTGGGGCGAGCTCATCACAAAGTCCCATGAATGTGGCTTTCCTCATGCGAAAGTTCTGCAACCACTGCTCATCATCCCAGACGTGCATC